AACCTGTGTACATGTTGATTCTTAAGTTTTTGTTACTAAAAAAACCAAACTTCTTGCTCTTCATTAACTCTCTAATGACCATACTCACTCCCCACTCCCCTTTCTTCCTTTTCTTCTTCTTCTTTTTTTTTTTTTCTTCAAGAGAGAGTTAAGGACTGTGAAATAAAGATGTCAATGAAAAACCTTGGCATGCAGTGTTCCAGAAAGATTAATGTAGCAATGGCCTGCCAGAGGCAAGTAGATCAGTTTTCTGGCTATTGCAAGAGTTTATTCAGTGCAGGGTGATGAATGTCTGCACAAAACTGCTCTTCCAAATATCCTAACTTATTTCAACTGCCATGGTTTTTTCAAATTTTGTCCTCAAAATCATCCCCAATGAGGAACCTGTCTTGTGCTGCCATGTTACCCGCCTCCATTTTGAAGGCTTCATCTGGTGGTACTTAATCAACATTCACCTTGGTTTGTTGTTTTATTTGTTTGCTATCCTGTTTCTACTTTGTTTTATCTCTTGCTCTTCATGACATCTATAGTTTTGAATATAAATATTCTCTAGGAACTTTAGGTCTTATTGATTCAAAGTGCTAAGCTTTTTATTATTTTTTAAGAAGTAGTAGATAATCTTCCTGATTTTAAGAGATAATATACTATTTTTACTACTATAGTTGTGGGATTTTGTTTTATTTTATTTTGGTTTTTGGTATGCTTTCATATCTGATAAGATCAGCTACTTTTTCCCAAGTCTTCATTACAGATGTCTTTGAAAAGAATTAACATCTTTACGATGTTAAATTGTCTATCAGGGAAAAGAGTGTAACTTTATTTCTTCAAGTTTTTTATATCTGTAAGTGGAATTACTAAAGCTTGAAAATCTAAAATATTCTCTATAATGCCTTGTGCATTGTTTATACAACTGTTATTGTAATTCCTAAATATTTTATCTTGTTGTGAGTTTTAACATTATTTTTAATTTTATTTTTTACTTGATTATGCCTGGTATAGGTAAATTATTGAAAGTTAATCTAATATCAAACAACTTCCCAGAACTACCTTATAATTTTTAAGAATGTGCCTGTTAACTCCATTAGATTTGCCTTGTAGATGAACATATATTGTTAAATAATAATTTTTTTTATCTATTCCTATTCTATCCTTATACCTATTATTTTGTTTTCTTATTACATTTTCCAGGGTCTTTAGTACTATAAACAAAAAAACAAATCTAATTAAAAATATTGATAAGAAACATCTTTATCTCATTCCCTCCTTTAAAAAATAAGTACTAAATCAACCCACTATGTTTGTGTGTGGTTTTGATAAATTCTCTTTATCAAGTTAAGGGATTTCTCTTTGCTTTTAAGTTTCCCAGACTTTGATTATCAAACTGAATTTCATCCTCCTTTTTTTGCATCTGGGAAAATCATATACATTTTTCTGTTTTTTGTTAATTTGATGACTTGTATTGATAAATGTTCTGATATTAAATCATTATTGTATTCTCTATTGAACATAATATATTTCTGTCAAATTGTTGAGATATAAAAGCTAATTTAATTAATTTGGATTTTTTTAACACCTAAGAAATGTCTATACAATTTTCTGTTTTTAATTATCCAGTTTAGCTTATCTGTTCCTTGAAAGTTTGCTAGAATTCTTCATAAAACTATCAGAGCCTTGTACTATTTTGCTGGAAAGGAATATATTTAATTCATATTTCAATTATTAATAGTCATTGTCTATTCATTGGGCTAATATTACTAGTTTTGCCACTTTATATTTTTCTAGAAATGTATTCTGTTTTAGATTTCTAAATTTGTTGGCATATGGATGCACAAAGCACTATTTCATTATTATAGCATTCATACCTGGAGATATTTCTCTTTTAAATCCTATAATTTATTTATTTGGTCTATTACCCTCCCATAGACACTTAAAAATAAGTATTAAGAGAGGTTATCTAACTTTTATTGTTTTCAAATAATCAATTTTTGGTTTCCTCATCTTTTTGATTTTTTAATGTTTCTTTTTTATTTCACTGATTGCTGCCTTTAATTTTTTATTTTCTTTTTAGTTTTTGGCTTTGTTATAGTATTTTAAAATATTTTTTATAATATCTAACTTGTTTTCACTTCCTCTTGTGGTCTGATAGATCCATTGAAAGCTGTAATTTTTCTATACATTTCTTGATTGAGCTATGCCCTCAATTGTTGAGGTTTTTAATTGTCACTTAGCTCTAAATTGTTCCTTATTCCCCCATACCATTACCATTTTGACCCAAGTTCTTCTGGTCACAAGTGTTTAAGGATACAAATATGTCCATTTTTTAACCATTTTCTTCATTGATCGAATTATTTTTCACTTGATCAGTGACCATAATATGTATGATACTGATGTTTTGAAGTTTATTGAGGCTTCCTTTGAGAGTTCATTCAGCATTGACTTGTGTGTATTTTCCATGTGTACTTAACGTGGTACACATGTTTCTTGTCTGATGTAAAATTAGGCATATATCTAATAAGTTTATGAGTCATTCAAAAGTTCTAGAATTTTTCTTATTCTTTGTTCTTTATCAGTTTCTAAGTTTTCTCTTTTAAAATCCCAGTCACAATTGTTCATTCACAATTGTTCATGAATCTGTTTTTCCAATAGATGTGATGATTTATGCTTTTTTGTCTTTCAAGTATACATAGGCTTATACCTGTTTATGATTATTATGGCCTTTTCACTTATTATCTTTCTTAGTATTATATATTGTCCTTCATTGCTGCTTTCAATTTACTTTTGTCCTACATTGTATTTTAACTGGTGTTTTATTTATTTTATTTTATATTTTGAGACAAATTCTTACTCACTCTGCCACCCAGGCTGGAGTACAGTGGCAGGATCTTGGCTCACTGCAACATCCACCTTCCGGGTTCAAGCGATTCTCCTGCCTCAGCCTCCCAAGTAGCTGGGACTACAGGCGCGAGCCACCATGTCCGGCTAATTTTATATTTTTCGTTCAGACAGGGTTTCACCATCTTGGCCAGGCTGGTCTTGAACTCCTGGCCTCAAGTGATTCATCCGCCTCGGCCTCTCAAAGTGCTAGGATTTATTGGGGTGTGTGAGCCACCGCGCCCAGCCTTGACTGGTATTTTAACTGCCACTACAATTGTCAGTTAGTTATTCTTATTTTCTTATTTTATAAGTTTTCTCTTCTCCTCTTTCTTTTTGATTTTTTTCTGCACTTTTTTGCCACTAATATGTATATCTCATAAGCAATATTTTAGATCAATTTCTAAAAATTCATTCTTATAGAAATAATTTTTTGTTGTTAACTATGCTCCAAGCAGTCTTGTAAATACTTTGCCTGTGTCATCTCATTTCATTTATATAAAGGTCTAACAGGTATTACTGTTAGCATTACTTTATATATAAAAAACAGCCAGTGGAATTTTAAATAGCTTGCCGAAAGATACACAGATAATGGTTTCAGTACTTGAAACTGAGCCTATACTCTTTACCACTATGATGTGCTGCCTTCCAATAAATTTATAATACCTTTTTATTGATACATAATACACGTACATATTTTTGAGATACAAGTGATAATTTGATAAATTTATATAATATATAATATGTGAAGAACAAATCAGGGTAATTGGGATATTCATCACCTTAAAATTTTATCTTTTCTTTATGCTAGTAACCTTCAAATCATTATCTTCTAGCTATTTTGAAATGTACAATCGATTAATATTAGCTATAGTCACCATACTGATCTATTGAACACTAGGTCTTATTTCTTCTTCCTAACTGTGTATTTGTACCCACTAATCAACATCTCTTTATCCCTTCTCTCCACCTCTTGTAACGACCAATCTACTCTCTACCTCCATGAAATCCACTTTTTTTTAGCTTCCACCTATGACTGAGAACATGCAGTATTCATCTGTGTTTCTCTTAATAAAATCACCCCCAGCTCTATCCATGTTGCTACAAATGATAGGATTTCATTTTGTATGTCTTAGTAATATCCCATTAGGTATATATACACCACATTTTCTTTATTGATTAATGGACAATTACCTTGATTCCATATTTTGGCTATTGTTAATAGTGCCAATCATGGGAGTGCAGGTATCTCTTCAATATATTTATTTCCTTTCTCTCAAATATATACCCAATAACTAAATTGCTGAATCGTATGATAGTTCTATTTTCAGTTTATGAAAAACCTCCATACACTTTTCCTTAGTGGCTGTCCTAATTTATATAACCCCCACAGTGTACTAATGTTCTGTCTTCTCCACATTCTTACCAACATCTGTTATTCCCTGTCTTTTCTGATAAAATCCATTTTAATCATGGTGAGGTGATATCTCATTGTGGCTTTGATTTACATTTTTCTTTTTTCTTTTTTTTTTTTTGATAGAGTCTGACTCTGTCACCAGGCTGGAGTGCAGTGGCGCTATTTCGGCTCACTGCAACCTCCACCTCCCGGGTTCAAGCGATTCTCCTGCCTCAGCCTCCCAAGTAGCTAGGACTACAGGCATGCACCACCATGCCCAGGTAATTTTTGTATTTTTAGTAGAGAAGGGGTTTCACCATGTTGACCAGGATGCTCTCAATCTCTTGACCTTGTGATCCGCCCGCCTCGGCCTCCCAAAGTTTTGGGATTACAGGCATGAGCCACTGCTCCCGACCTTGATTTGCATTTTTCTGATGCTTAATGATTTTAAGTCTTTTCCATATATCTGTTGGCCATTTGTCTTTTTTTTTTTTTTTTGAGAAATATCTATTCAGATCTTTTGCCCATTTTTAAATCAATGTTCTTGGATTTTGCTGTTGAGTTGTTTGAGCTCCTTATATTATACTCATTTTTCTTATAAGGAAATTGAGCCTCAGAGAGATTAAATAAAATTGCCCACACAATAATGCTAGGGCTGGACTTTGAACCTAATCAGTTTGGTTTTTGAGTGTACACTCCCAGCTATTTTTTGTTTACTTCTTATATTATACAGTTATACAGAAGTGAAAAGGTGAAATACAAGTTGGGGAGGCACCAAGACATCAAAGGAATGAAGCACAAGATGCAAGTTCAGAATACAGTAGTAGAGATGGTGAGAGTCTCATTCTGTATTGGTCCTCCCTGTCTTCACTCCTTGTTCTCCTCTCCTTAGGCACTCTGGTTTTCTATATGGTTTTCTCTTACCCCATCAAAAACCTACCTTCAAAATAGGAGTGGTAAAATCCATTCATACTGAAGTCCGGGGACTGGGAGTTACTTATTTCTTCTGGGTCTAATGGTAACAGACCACATTTGAGAAAATTTTGGATTCCAGAATATTTCAGGTATATATGGATTATGTTTGTTAAGCAAGAAAATCACAGATTACAAAATAATATATTTAAACAGATGAGTAAAGCAAATGCCATGGTAGCAGTTTAGAGTAGCAAGAAGTGATGGTGTTACGAAGTCATAGCAATTGCTAACTTATTATAGACACTAACAATTAAATATCCTGAAACATCTTCTGTTCTAACTTGAGTGAAAATGCCCATTTATTCACTCTGGCAATTTTAGGATTCAAACTGAAGCCAAACAAGAAACTAAGAAATCCTTTTTAATAGTTGATAAATCAGCTAATTGAAGTTTATGCGAAGTGGTTTTAGAGTCTTCCTAAATAATAACACAAAGAAGAGATCTTATCATATGATTACAGACATGGTTATAACACAGAAGGCAGAGTTAGTGTTGTTAAAATTCCAGGTGATATGTAACATTAATACCTCGACATAAACTGGTTTTATTAGTTTTCAGTAAAAATAGCAATAAATAATTTAAATATATGTCAAAATTAATTATTAAGCTTTGTGTAATGAGCACCATTTTTAAAACACACTTTTTTATTGTGGCAAAATATGCATAATGTACAGTTTACCATTTTAACCATTTTTAAGTGTACCCTTCATTGACACTAAATACATTCACATTATTGTTCCATCATTGTCTCTAACTTTCTCAAGAACTTTTTCATCATTCCAAACTGAAACTCTATTTCCACTAAACAATAACTCCATAGTCCCCCAGAAACCCCACCAACCTTGGTAACCACTGTTCTACTTTCTATCTCTATGGATTTGACTACTTCAGGTACCTCATATAGGTGGAATCCTACAATGTTTGTCCTCTTATGCCTGGCATATTTTATTCATCATGATATCTTCAAGGTTGTAGAATGTGTCAGAATTTCCTTCACTTTTAAGGCTAAGTAATACTCCACTGTATGTACATACGACTTTTGGTAATCCATTTACATGTTGATGGACATCTAAGTTGTTTCCACTTTTTGGCTATTGCAACTAATGCTGCTATAAACATTGGTGTGCAAAGCTTTCATATATATCTATATATGATTTGAGTACCTAAAACAAAATCTTTTAGATAAACTAATAAGACATCAGAAATATAATACTTGGTGTTAACTAGGATGCCATACCTGGTGAAATTTTTGAATCATTTTGGAAGTATCTGTTATTGTTAGAGTGACCGCATAATTTATCATCCAAACCAGGATGCTCTTGACAGTAAAAATAGTATGAGTAATATTTACCTGGACAAAATCAGCATAAAACAGAACTATCCCAGGCAAACCAGGTCATGTGGCCCCCTTATCCCTTTGAAAGGCAGTTTAATAAATAGAATCTTTTGTTTCCAGGTACTGGAATCTGTCATTTGAAAATATTGTATTTAATTTCGTTGGAAATCGGGGTCAAATTTTCAGATTAGGAAGTATAGTAGTAGTTTTAAAACTCTGGGATTCCATTTAGTGAGATGAAGTCAAACCCATCTATTTCCCTTGAGTTAAGTTAACCACTTAATACAGTCCTTTGATATCATTTAAGGAAATGATAATTATTAACAGAGGTGGCACCAAGCAGATAGGTCTAGGTGAACCCATTGTTTTCTGTTGCTAGCACTTTTGTCAGTAATTATCACAGATTCTCCATGAGAAGAGAATAATTGAACACAATAAAAATGAATTTTGTACTTTGGGTTCTTTTCTTTCTCTGGTGTGGGTCCAACCAACCAATGCATATAGTTAATCACGTCTAAACGGACTTAATTATGTCTAGATCTCATGACTTTTTCCTTCATTCATCAGAAGCAGAAATTCAGACATTCTGGCAGCCCATTGATCCTGGTAGCAAATTTGATCCCCCCTTCCTTGGATATCCAAAATCTAGGGGATACTGATTATATCTATGTAATTAGTACTTCAAGGCCAAATGGAAATAGAAAACCAAGCCCCAACAATTTTAGTTCTTGATAAATTATCAAGATAGGTGGGAAACTGTTTAGATAAGTGGGATGTTTGAAATCTAAAACCTTTATCTGAGTACTTGATTAACACTTTGTTTGTTGGGGGAATAGAGAGTATTAGGTGTTACTGCTCCAAAGGAAAGGAAATCACCTTGATAAGTCAACATAAGGGAGAAAGCTAGGTTGGCTTTAAGGAGCCATTCAGTTAATAATTGGGTATAATTTATAATGAACAAATTGATTGTTTTATATATTATAACTCACTCTCTTTGCTCTGACATATGCCACATTTATGTCTCAGGTGAGTTCTTTGAAAAAATAGATCCCTCTATTATAGAACCCCATAAAGAAGCAAATTAGTGTTTCTGCAGAGGAACATATCAGAATTCTCACAAGGAAGATAGAGACTACAAAGAGCTTCTTTTCAGATTAGGTCAGATTTTGCAGACAAATGAGGGAGTACCAATATTATGGAAAACTTTCATTTTTCAGTAATTTTAGATTTCAGATATGTAGATGACAGATTGAAGGCCTATGATGATATTTATGTTTAGATTTATAAAAATAGTACCTAAAATAATACTAACATATTGCAGAACTTATAGAACCCCCCTCCCCCCCCAAAAAAAGAAACAAAGAAAAATCAACTGCCTTTCAGAGAATACTTTCTAGCTGTTTGGATCTCTCTTTTTAACTGTAATTGAGATTTTGAGATTATACAATACATGTAGTCTCACAATATGCTGTATTATGTTAACACCAGATATTCTAAAGGGCATTTTTGAAACAAACCCATTAGAAAAACTGACAGAAAGATGCAGACCTAGAAGAGGCAGCTCTGCTAGTCAATAACGGAAGACGTGGAAGGCTATTGTTAGAAGAAATTCTGAGCTTTTGATAAAGAGTCATTGAACTTAAGTCTAGATCAATTTTTAAAGTTATAAAGCATATGATGTATCGATTTTTTAAACGCAGAAAATTCTTAAGCACCATTTTAATCAGGCTTCCCAGGTTTTTTCCTTCTTTCATGGCATTACTAATGAGAACACCGTTCTTAATTTGAGGTTATATTGTCTTATCCAATGTCTATTGAAGGAGAAAATGTTATTTTAGGATTCCCAAGCTATGTTGTTTGCCTTTCTTTTTTTGTAGGGCTTTTACTTGCTAACTCAAAGTTTTACTATGAGAAAAAGTGTGTAATGTGATCTCTGAAAGAAACACTAAGTGTTCAAAATGCACCAGAAATCTCAAAATGCCTTTTTAAATGTAGTCTTAGAAAACTTCGTTGAAGTGAAAAATACTGGCCTTTAGAAGCAGTGTTTTAAAAATTATGGTTTCCAGTGTTTTCCAAGATTGCACACTGTGGAATCATGGAAATTCCATGATTTCTGGAGATTCTAAGTGAATGAAAAGAAGTCTGTTTAGTAGCTAAGCTTACTTTATGTGTAATCTATTAAATCTGTGTCTAACTTCCTGGTCCATCCACCTGCTGTATTCCATTCTATATCTATAATAGACTGGAAACATTAACAAATGGTGAAAGCATAAAATAAGTAAAGTGCATGAAGCACTCAGGACTGTCAAAATTAAACTTTTCATATATATGTCACCATGCTGGCTTTTAGGAAAAATATAGCTAAATATACGTATAATTGTTTCTTCCTTATGTTTCATTGAGTTCTATCATAAAACTAACAATAAACTTTGAAATGTACTCTAAGTTTTATTTCTTTTTCTTTCTTTTATAGCCTTTGGTTCATGTGTACCTGATTGAGACAGTTGTAATTTTTCAGAATGAATCAGTTTTAAGTATTAAAATACCGAAAGGTATGTTTACGATTTAGAAAAAGAACAATCCATAAGCGTATTTTTCCCCTTTGCTTCTTGATGAGTTTTTGTCTCATTGAGTCATCAGAATACATTGTGTTTATTGGAATTTGATATATTACACTTTGGCGTGGGCCAGAAGACAAACTACCACATATGATCCTTCATTCCTCGGATTGTGATCAGTCAGCCATGATTAAATAGCTTTGGTTGTAGAGAATCTTAGTGAGAAGGTAAACATGTATGCATAATATCTGAAACTGGAACCACAAGAGGAAGCAAAATAATGATCAAGGCATATTGGTTTTATCAATAGTATTGCAGTCTTTAGTTTGAACAAAAATATTTTCTGCTATTATGATTAAGTAAGCTAAAGAAAATTACAGCTTGTCTTCACCATTTGCTAAAAACATACATAAGGATATTGGCAAGAGCACAGGAAAAAAAGCAAAATCCATCTAGATTTACTAAAATTATGTGAGAATAATGTTTGACAAGGATGTCTGGATTAAACTGAAGCCTAATCTCCAACATTTAAAGCATGTAGCTAGTTATTTTTTATTTTTATTAACATTTACATTGTTGAAAAAAAAAGTTTATTAATGTGTTGAAAAAAAAAAAGTTTATTAATGTGGAGTGAGAATAGGATTCCTTGTTAAGGGATGGGTAAAATAGAAAGGTAGGAGAGATTCAAAAAATATGGTTTTTTGAAAACCCAGAAGAGTTGGGAAAACAGGTACTGGAATTCCACCTCCAATTACACTTCAAGCCTGCTAAAATTCAACAGGTGAATAGTTGCCTCAGATCTGCTTACCCAGAGCAAATGCCACTTAATCCAATATGAAGATAATAATAATAATGTAACTTAAAAATAAATAGAGTGTCCACACATGAGCGAAGACCTTGCAAAGTATCAAGCTCTCTGCCACCAGTAGTGTTCACATAGAGATGAGATAATCATTGCAGTGGTGGGTGATAGAATAAATTCTTTCATCTGTTGGAGGGTAAGCATGCTGTCTTTGAAGTCCTCTCCAACTATGACTGTGTAACTTTGATATAATTAAGCACATGATGATTTCCACTTGCTGCCTGTAAATCTTATTTTTTGTCTTTTAAAGATGCTTCCTAATTTCATTTGAAATTCCATTTTTTCATTTTTCTAGCTGTGAGTTCCTTGTCCTAGGCAGATAACGATTGGTTAAAAAAAATTGAATAAAAGTGTGATTTAAGTACAGTTTACCATTGATTTAAATTTACACAAATAATTCCCATTATATTTTTAGTGTATTAAATTAGGCATATGTGGATAATAAAAAATAACTTGGGTTTGCCATATATTATAAATTGCTTTTTCTTACTACAGACATTAACATCTGCTTGTACTTAATTTTTTATTCAGGGGTAGCTTATTTAAGTCTTTTTCAGGTGGATAAAACAGGCATGTGGTCAAGGTTACTTAAGCTACTACACTGTAATTGTCTCACTATTGATTACTTAATGATTTTCTGTCCCTTTTATTTGGATTCTATGCATAGGTAGGCCCTCGAGGGGACTGGTTAGTGTATAATCCAGCTTTGTCTGGTCTTCAAATGCTACAGTTTTACATGAAACAAAAATAACAGCATCATAATAAATAACTCAAAGCATATCATCACCTTTCTAAGTATCTGCATGTCTAACTCTGTCAAGATTAATCTCTCTGTGTTCTCCAGCTGCTTAGTTGATGCTACTGCTTCTGAAATAGGTCTGGTCTTAAGTATCAGCCCTGTGACTTCATTGCTCACTCCTGGAGCCATCTCTACAAAAATTTATTTGCCAAACCTAAGGAGTAAGGAAAGCTATAATATATATATATTATATATATATATATATATATATATAATATATATATATGAGATGGACCGTGTGTAAATAATCATGTTAAGTGGATAATGCTTACAAGAAAGGCGTAAGGCATTTTAAGAATAAAATCACATCAAAACCTATTTGTCCATGAGAACCAGACTGGAGAGTAAGGTGTGTTTGGGTTTGGAGGTGATAGACCCAACCCTGTGACAACAGTGAATAAAGGTTGTTGGTAATTTAGTACCAGACCTTGAGTCATCTGTCACTGTGAAGGCCTGGAAGAATGCATGTCCTACCAGTCATATTGATTAGAAAAAGCAGCTGAGGCAGACACTTTTCTAAAAGTTTGCCTTTGTAGAACAAAATGCATTTGTCAGATGAAAGGTCTTTCTCATGTTCTTAAAATATTGTCCACCCACTCAACAAATAAGGACTGGAAAACCTTCACCAAAATTCAAGAAATATTTAATGAATGTCTGTTATGTATGAGATAACCTCTCAATATCTAAAGTTTATCATCAGAATTCATTGCCCCTCTGCAGAAGTTATTGAGAGAAGGAAAGGGCATATGTGGCTGATTGGTCCAAGGTGCCCCTTCTGGGCAGTAGGGACAGAGTCTATTTTGAAACAGGTCAATACAAGTAAAATTGAAATTCTTTAGAATTCTTTATCTTTCCTGTGAGATTTTCAGACTCTCTGTAGCAGTAAACATTCAAACATCATGACTGATAGGATGAAAGATTAGATTTTATGCCCTTGTGACAGGAGAAAAAGGTAGAGTTTCTTTATGGGTGTGTTCTCAGAGAAAAAAAAAAAGCCTAGCAAGTTTGGGCTGTTGGACCCTAGACTGGCAGGCCTCTGTCCTCAGCAGTGCTTGGACATGAGACATCTTGATCTGATCTAGCCCAGGCTTCCAGTGTAGATTAGGACCTCAGCTGATACTTGGAGTGGAAATTCAACCCAGCTTGGCAACTCTGATTGACTGTGGCCTCAGAGATCTAGGACATTCCCAGAAGTCTGGGTCAGCCGAGCAGCAGGGAGTGCTCGTGATAATTAAAGCCTGTCGGCCCTGTCAGGGCTGCTGAAATTTCAGCAGAGGCTTTAGATAAGGATGATCATTGTTTACTAGGCCAAGTGAACAATGATCACTACTCCCCTACAGACATTTATCACATCTCAGTACCTATTCATGGAGTGCCTACTACTTTCTAGGCTCTATTCTAAGCACTGTGGATGTAGCAGTGAGCATGCTTGCTTTCATGCAGTTTATATTTTGGTAGAAGAAGTCAAACAATGAAAAAATATGTAATGTCAAGGGATGATAAATGCAATGAAGGAAAACAAAGCAGAGTACAGAGTGACTTGGTAAGGGAAATATTACTTTAGATAAGGTCAAGAAAAGTTTCCATGATAAATTGATATATGATCAGAAATTTAATGGGAAAATGGAGTATGCAATACATAGATCTGAGAAGAAACCATTCCAGCAATATACAAAGATAAAGTGTGCTCAGAGCAAGCAGGCCAAGGTGCTGAAGGGGAGTAAACAGTAAACAGAGAGAATACAGTAAGAAATGAGTCCAGAGAGGGAGGTGGAGAAAATACCATGTGGGACTTTCAGGCCATGCTAAGAACTTAGCCATGTGTTTCCTTTGACTGAGATGTGAAGTCACTGAAGGACTGTGAACAAGGGAAGTAACATGATGTGACTTTACATGCTATTGTGAGAATAGACTGTAATGTGGTATAATTCAAAACAGACCAGTTACTTTACATGCTATTGTGAGAATAGACTGTAATGTGGTACAGTTCAAAACAGACCAGTTAGGAGGCTCTTATAGTAGAATGGTTAAGAGCATGTGGTGGGACGCCAGCGAAACGGCGGAGTAAGGGCCCCTGAAAATTCTCTCCTCCATCAAAGCAATAAGAAGACTGGCAGCCAGGTGCAGTGGCTCATGCCTGTAATCCCAGCACTCTGGGAGGCTGAGACAGGTGGATCACCTGAGGTCCGGAGTTCGAGACTAGCCTGGCTAACATGGCAAACACCCGTCTCTACTAAAAATACAAAAATTAGCCGGGTGTGGTGGCAGGTGCCTGGAATCCCAGCTACTTGGGAGGCTGAGGCAGGAGAATCACTTGAACCCGGGAAGCTGAGATTGCAGTGAGCTGAGATCACGCCATTGCACTCTAGCCTGGGTGACAACAGTGAAACTCCATCTCAAAAAAAAAAAAAAAAAAAGAAAGAAAAGAAAAGAAAAGAAAGGAAAAGAAAGAAAAGAAAACTGGCAAAATGGTCAGAATAAACTTGTTTAGAAGTCTAGAAATTAAGTAGTCTTTTAGAAATCAGGGTGCCCTTATTCAAGAAAAACAGCTGAATCTTGGTAAGAACAATGAGCTTTGTAGTATTTAATTCACTTGAGTACCATTCCCTGCACTCCAGATCTACAGTAGTATTGATAAAGAAGAGCTCACATTCTCAGTGCAGCCTGGCAAGCATCCGAGAGGGAAGAATGGAGCTAGAGTTTATCCAAATCCTCACACCCACAGAACTGTTAGTATTTGACCTGCCTCTTTTGCTCAATAGACCTCACTTGCACAACAGTCTGTACTTGACTTTACTCAGAACTACCAAGTGAGAAAAGCCTTGACTCAGAGGATTGTGTGTTAAAACAGTTAGAGGGAAGTATTTTAATTTCATGTCTGCCTGGAGGGATGGATAACACTTGTGGCAAACAGTAGAATAACCAGAAATCTTTTAAGGAAAATTTTGGGAATGAATTGTCCATAGGAGCTTAAAAGCTTTGAGATATTTTTGAGAATCTGGAACGACATAAACAGGTATAAGGCTGAGTACCTGTCCAGGGCTGTGCCTGCTCAGGGAAAACCTGAGAGGTCCTAAACCCCCACCTTTGGTCAATCTTGAGGCTCTGCAGAAACAGGAAGTGGAGTCTAACGCAGAGTCACAAATGCCTTGATGATTGTTGAAGGTATGTCTCAACACATACATAGAGTCCCTCAACAAAGACAGAAGATTGGTTAGGAATGAATAGATGACCACGGAGTTACTCTACTAAGCTAACGAAGCAGAGACTTTGGTGGCCACATACAACAAAGAATGTGTACTTTACAGGATTATTCTAGAATAGTCATCAAACAAACATGACTGCAGCAAGAAATAACTGCAAACCTTGGGTAAGACTGTAAGTGCATTCCCAGAGTTGCCACATTACCATGATTAAAATGTCCGGTTCTTAAATACCATGACATTCAAAGGCACAAAAAAGAGTGGCCTATTCAAAGGGGAAAAAGCAATCAATAGCAACTATTTCTAGGGAATCCTAGATGTTGGACTTACTAGACAATGACTTTAAATTAGGCATTTAAAATATGCTCAAATAACTAAAGAAAATATTGTCTAAAGAACTAAAGTGTAAGAATGATATCTTGCCAAATAGAGAATATCAAGAAATAGAAATTATCATAAAAATAGAAATTCTGAAATTGAAAAGTATAATAACCTAAAAGAAACATTCACAAGATCAGAGTTGAGCCAATAGAAGAAAGAATCACCAGCCAACTTGAAAATGGGTCAATTGAGGTTATTCAGTGAGAGTAACAAATAAAAAAGTATGAAGAAAATTGAGAGCTTCAGATGTCTGTGGGACATTGTCAAGCAGACCTTGCTGCTCATACTCATAAATGTGATCTTCCAAAAGAGAACAGAGAGACAAAGAAGCAAGAAGAATAATCAAGGAAATATTGGCAGAACATTTTCTAAATTTACTTAAAAGCATTAATCTTCACATCCAAGAAGTTCAGTGAACTCCAAGTAGGATGAATTCAAAGAAAATTATAATGGACACATTATAATTAAACTATCAAATAGGAAAGACCAAGAGAGAATTTTGAATGCAGCAAAATAAAGATGGCTTCTCACAGACAAACAGCGTGGGCAGGTGGTTCATTGTAAAAGAAGAGAGGCAGAGTTATGGGCACAGGCGCAGATGGGATGGCAGTTTTAGTGGTGGGAACATGTGGAAATCCTTTCTTTTCTAACGCTTCCATTTTTTCAAAGAAGTTAGGCATAAGACCACCAACTCAGAATTGGAGGGAGAGCAGGAGAGGAAGAACAGAGGCATGAAGATCACTAGCAATTTTTTTGCAAGGTCAAGCAGTATTGAAGTCAAACCAATGATATAATTCACAATGCACCGATTGTTCATTGCTGTTAGCAATGCATGGAATGTGGGAACTTCATCCTTGAACTAATTATTTGTTGACAGACACTGAACTTTTTACATTAATTTAAATGCTTAAATCTTAAAATGTCAGTACTCTGGGCAAAGTCCCTGTTGTCCACCCTACTTGGCAGGAAGATTAAACCTCTGCCAAATTATGCTTTACATTCTCTCAATAATCCCTGTATTCTTTTCCCTGGGTGGCATTTTTTGCCTATATGTGGCCTGAGGTCCCAATCTGGGAACGATGAGTCAATTTGGACCAGGAGACATATATATATTTACCCGTACAACACCTTTACAAAAGAAAAAGGATCACTGGCAATATTCAATAATGAAGAGACTTTTAGATGAAAATCTGTGTTTCTGGTTCCCGGATCTGAGGAAAATCTGACACAGTGAACCAGGCTGAGAGCAACTGGCTGGAGCTAGGCAGCAACCGGCCTCTTCTCAGGGATCTGCACTTCACATATGGGCTTTGCAAACCTTGCTGCAGTCCATTTTCACTTCATAGAATGAGTGAACTTCTCTCCTGTTACTGAATGCCCAAAACGTTCCAGTCATTTCCATAAAGAATGCTTCCTCCCAGTTATTTGTGCTCTCAAAGTTCCTACCACATTTTATAAGTTCAAATGTTATAGCATTTCTCATCTTCCATCTTTATGAACTTATTTGTTCGAACTTTTTGTCTTTCCTTTTAGATTTTTAAGTTCTTTAGAGGGAGGGTTGGCATTTTAAT